ATGCGGATTTAAATGCGTGGGTCTCGTTTCAGCAGATAAGGCCATATTGCTTTTCTAAGGTGTGTACCCCTCCTAAATTTAAAGCTAACCTTAAAGCTTTCCTAAAGAAAAGGAGGCATCCTCAAGCAAGGGGCTTCAATGTTCTTGAAATACAGTAAAACCGGTGGATCTTTGGGGGGGGGTACCATATATATATATATGCATACACGTATCAAAGTTCATCTCTCCAGTCACCATTATCGAGACTCCTAGTCATGAGGGAAAGCACTCGTACTGGAGATCCTAGTACTTCGCCGGCATGTAACCCGTTTGGCGCGACAGCTTGCATCGAGGGCCAAAACCTTCAATCAAAATCCTACACCCACCTGCAAGAACAGAAGGACAAGGATCTGTGATCGTGACGCCTTGGGTCTGACCCTGTTTGCGAATGAACTTGCCAGCCACCCCCGGCGTCAAGGTGTGAAGAAGTGCGGACCTTGGCTGGTTACAAACGTACTTTCGGGCTGGCGTGTTCAGGCTCTCGGTAGGAGATTCGAGTGCCAATTTCAACTTGCCAGTACCAGAGAGTTGCGCAAAGCAATAAGCCTCGGGAGTAGCATGTGTAAATTGTGACCCAGGGACAAGGTCTCTGTAAGAATACTGCTCCTAGAGGTACTTTACGACCAGCTATCAAACTTTCGTGCTGCAGTGCCTGAGGATCCTGAACACTTCGGGTGGAGAAGGCTGCCGACGCCCGCACCGAGAATCTAGCAATTTCCAGGCCAAGGTCTGTGAGAAGTTTGTGAGGGCTTGAAGTCAAAGAAAGCTTTGCGTGTAGGGTTCAGGGGCTTCTGCGGTGGATAGCTTGCGGCTGCCATTTCCATCTAAGCTTCTTCTCATCAATGGGACTAGGATAGAATTTGCAAGAGAAGCTTCCCTCTTCTTGAAAACCTCGTGATGCAGAAGCCTACCAGCCCCCTTCGTCAATGAGATCTTCCGTCCAGGACTTGCACACAGATCGCGATCGATGAGCGTCTGTGCGAGTCCCGGCAAAGAGTGTAAGAAGCTCATTTGATTGGGGACCTGTTTAAAAATGCTCTTGTTTCTTGTTGAAGGGTCGAAAGAAAAGAGTCTTGCTACACGGAATCTTTACCGCACGCGCAGATTCTTTGTCAGAAGCTCAGAAGACCTGTTGAGCAACAAAGAGGCAAAGTTCAGAGCAAGGGTCCCATTCAGGTGCAGAGACTCTCTCCACAACAGACATTTTGGCAAAATTGATCGAGGACTCAGACTGGCCGACTCAAAATATGCATCCCGCACGCATCCCTGTTCCGGACCCTTCAATGCCTCACATTTGCATTGCAGGCCTAGAATTTGAGGTTGAAGCTGCCAGAGGCATCGTCATCCCAAAGAAGCCGGCCTACTTAAAAGGTCAGCTGAGTTTGCAGGTATCATCAAGAAGTGCATGAGTTTGTTGATACCTGCATCCACGCTTTGAATCTGGATCCGAGCCCTTGATCCTAGCTGCCACAAGTCTAGTCCTGTTACACTGTCTCATCGCTGCTGAGCCACAGTTCCCAAGACATCCCTTCATAGCCATCACTGAGGGTGTCGCTCAGATCCTTGGATGTTGGCAGGAGTCAGGCTTCGAGCGTAAACGCTGATGTTCTCGCGGCATCAACATTTGTGTACTAGCTATCGGTGAGAAAGACCTGCGAGGCCTCCTTGCGGCTTTAAAAGCGGCTCTAGAACCACACTCAGGAACGAAGGGAAAGCGAGCTTTGGAAGAAGCCAGTTCGCTGAACCTGCAGACACCTGCAAGACGGTGCAGAACTGTGGTCAACACTCACATTCAGAGAGGAATCGTGAAAGAGAGAGAGAGAGAGACAGAGAGAGAGATATATATATATATCCACATGAATATACTTATCATACACAAATTATTGTATAAAGAGGAAGTTTTCGCAGACTCGCGTTTAATGCGAAGGTAACACCAGCAAGTATATAAATGAGGGTAATGCTAGGAGTCATCATGATGGTCATATGCGTTCTGGCGCAGGCATTCTACATCAAGCAGTGCATTGTAGTGACAGACTCTGAGACAAATCCTATGTAGCCGGAGGGTAAAGCGTCACATCCAAGAAACCAAATGCACATCCCGGGTATCTGAGAGCATGAGGACTCTGTCTTGCAAGGATGCCCTGGAAGGAAGCCCGACTCCAACATGTTGATGAACCTCCTTGCTCTCACAGAACCTTTGTGCAGTAGTTATGAGACACCCAGACGCAAGTCAGTGTCTTAAGTCATTTATGTTACTTGCGTCTTGTCCTAAATTCCAGAAAGTCAAGGTGAGCCCTTGCAGCATTCTGCACCGGGTGGCGTAAGTCATGGAGTCGTGCGTTCCCGGCAGCGAGAGATCCAAAAGGGTGGAATCTCCTCAGCTACGTCGGGAGCAGCTTCGAGAAATCAGGTGCCGTTTGTACACCTCTATGTGTACTGGAGGCTGTACTATACCTTGTACGCGACTAGGGCCAATAGCTTTAGGGAAGCACCCAACTAAGGTTCTCATGCAAAAAGTCTCCCTGCTTAAGAGTCCCTACAGAATGCAATGCGTGGAGAGGAACAGCAAAGTTTGCGAAATGACCCAGGGTTTGGAGTGCAGGATTACTGTATTGGATCATCTGTCAAAGACTGCTCATCGAAGCCCCAGGGGTACTGCAGGACGCCGCACTGGTCAGCCATCATGCGGGGACTTATCTCAGATTGTTCGGTCCCCTCTTCAATGCGTGCCGTGGTCTAGCCTCCTAGTCAGCTCCCTAGCTGGCTCGTACTATTCCTGCTCCATACGAAGGATGCTAACCTTAAACCTCACACTCAGCCTCCAAATTTCATGGGGAAGAATAGGCTTGAAGCCAGACTCCTAAACTGCAAAAAGTCCAATCCCAAAACCTTTGACCCAGGACCCTTGATTCCCAAACAGGACCCCAACCGATATAGCAATCTCCAGAAGTGGGGGAGACCCAATATATAGACCCCAAAGTNNCAATGTTGGGAAACCCCCATATACAAAGCCAGGATTCCAAGGATAGGGCCCAACCTTGCATAATGTCGGCTTGGATTGTCCAGCTTGGGTTCAGGAACCATGCTTTTGAGGGGAAAAGCCTTGGAATGCAGAAAGGCTTTGGGTAGAATGTGTGAGGCAAGGCAAGGCGTGCAACAATTCTGGTGTTGTACTTGGAGATCACCATGCTTGTTCCCATTGTCTGTCGCTTCTTCTCTTTTTTGATTCGGGGATAGTGATGTCGTAGCCATCGCTGCTGCTGCTGCTGCTG